CTTTTAAATCGCTGGAGAGATTTTAGGATATAGGACCAGATTTTGAGATACGGCTTCTGGAGCCTGAAAATAGACAACCAATAGTGGTAATATGACTCTCCTGTTTCCCAGCTGTGAAGTATACCCAGTTAGTTATGCGGTTCTCGCGCCAGGCCACACAATTACTTTACGGGACGGTTGTTGCTCGGTTGCGTTTATTGGAAGAAAAGATAACCCTTGAATATCCACGCACTCCGTAGATCGTGCCCGATTAATGAAAGTTGCTCCCGCTGAACCACGCACAGCTTATGCTCGGGTGTAACTCCCAACATTGAAATCGGATCCACACATCATACGGTTGACAAGTCCTCCACTTGTGGGTCCCATCGAAGTGCGTGATCCACTTTGGAATTTGCGATTCACAATACGTATCAGTGTTGTTGTACTATTTTTTATAAATTATCAACCCCATTAAGCGACGCTGCTCAACCGAGGAGGGACCGAGGTTGAGGAGATGATTGGTATTTTCGATGGCGCACATTGTGCGATTGAGGCGTCGCACTAGGATCTGATATATATCTGGAATAAGATTGACGATTATCTTGGACAAATTGAATTGTCTTGTTGCAAGGTGAGTGTACAATGTGATCAAACCCGCGGGGTTGATCAAAAGGGTAATATAATTCACTACAAGTCTTTAGAAAGTGGCTTATATCAAGCTCGAGTACTTCCATGGAATGACTTGAACGTGAACACTGTTATCTCGTCTATTATGATAAGGTAATGCAAAGCATCCCCTGTCACTTAACCTGGCAATGGTGTACAGAGGCGCATCTTTATCTTGAATTGCATAGGTGAAATTTTGCACATAGACACCTGCAAAAGCAACGTTTGTATCAACTACAAATTTAGCCGAGCATGACCCCAGTCGCATTCCAGACACGCTGCTCATGCTGCTTATATGTACGCCATAATGGGATTGACATCTCTAGTTGATCGGAATATCTTAACCTGGCTACTTCGTGCTAATTTCTTTTGTCACGGGTCGATATCGATCTGGTTGTGGAGCGTAAGCGAAGCAATGCGAAAAGCGGAAGGGATAGATTTAGTACGGGTCACATGGTCAGGACGCCATGTCAGCTTTTCAAACCTGCGTAGATATACCTAGGTACCTACCTAGGTAGGTAACCTCTATGTATGACCTAATCTCGTCACGTTAACTACCTACCTAGGTAGCTTCATATATTCCCTCCGCCATAAACAGGAACCATGGTTTTTGTTATGGTCTAGTGGTAAAATACTCTGTATTTTATCCAACAAATATACGGTGCATTAGGAATTATCATTAATAGCTGTAGGACTGGCTCTAAAGCCCCTTAGTTGCCTATAACCGAGCCATTTAGGCTGGCTGTAAACCATTTTCAATTTTTCAGAGGACATACACAGCTATTATTTGAAGAGGAACTGATTGATGGGGTGCTAGATATAAAGTCTACCCTTGATTACTTCAATAGCTTCTACCTATGTAAGTGAGTTTTGACGTGTGGATTTGCTACCATGTTGCTATATTAACTTGCAGATGAAGGCTTTATTGTGCTCCGTTTTGTATTCATTGTAATAAACTCTTCAATTTGAGATTATGGCATATATCTGTCGAATGTAGATACCTTAGCTGGTGAAATATAACGAGATGATGCTTCCCTGTATGATTAGAGTTTGAATCAAGAACCTTGGAAAGGGCTCGCCCGTGGGGTTCGGCCCGACATACGGAGTAGGTGTCAACGGCTTCCAATAAGCATCCGAAGAAAATGATGTGAGTTCGGGTGAGAAGGGCCGCTAACGCAAACTCCTTCCCTTGCTTTATTTGGCAGTAATACCAATATCAATCTTTAATATCACCCAACTACTACTAAGCAGCTCGTACCTTTTCGTGTATCTAATTGATTGTATGTCTTTGAAATAATAGCATATTTATCACTGGTGGCGTGTATGCATTAGCGTCCCTTCTCGCCCGAGCTGGGATGATAGGGTAGGATTGGATCTGATGGATGAGAAACAAGCAACAACCGAAGCCAAAAATAGTCGGCCTGATAATTGGAAAATTAGGACTATGTACTCCGTACTACCGTAGGGACTGCATAGGATGAAATGGAACGGAAAAGGTGATAATGTCTCGACCTCTCTCCACCAAAACCCAAAGATCGACAGGGGGTTGGTGGACTCAGTTTCACTGCTTGGAAAGAAAATATGTATTTACCCGGATTAACCGGAGATGCTGGGCTTGTCGGCGTTTTGGGTGACATTCAAGGTCTCAGGATTGGCTTGTACCTAGGTAGGGACAGTCGATCAATATTATGATATTGTCAAACCTCAAACTCCGTAGTCTAGTAAGTTAGCTTCATCAACAATTCAATATCTGAACAAATGAACAAACCATGCACTTCGCTATCGAGGCGACATCTGGAGTAAAAATCTTGTTTTGAATGATTGCAAGACATGTTTCAATAGTGCGAAGTGATCGTCGCCCAATTGAACCTATATAGTAATTTAGAGTAGCCACTCTAATTAAAAATAGAATCATTCCCGGTTTTATGACCTCAACAAGCCGAGCGAGGCATGTCTTAGTTCAAAATTGTACGCATAAAATATGTCTATAGCTCTTGGGTATAAAAGAATCCCGAGTTCCTCTCGTTAAGTTATCACCAAATCTACTCTACAAGTCCAATTCACAATCAAAAATGAAGTTCTCTCTCGCCGCCATCACCGCCTTCGCCGGCGCCATCAGCGCTGCCAGCCTTCCCAACGCCTTCACTCTAGTTGCCGAGGGCGGCAAGACCGTCCTGACCGATGGCCAGAACGCTTACATTAATGCCAACACCACCGATCAAGAGATCCTGATCCGTAAGCATCCACCCTCTCATGGTCTCGATCCAACCCCTAATATTTGTTCTTTTTCTAGTCCGTGGCGGCAGCCCTAACGGCCTCGTTTCATACACTGCCCAGAACGGTGTTCCCACTGCTTTCCAGAACCTCTACATTGTCGAGAACTCTGTCTCGCCCCTCGGCCTGACCGTGCCTCACTCCGGCGCTGTCCCCGAGGGCGGCAACACCACTGGATTTGGTGTCAACGACAAGGGTCTGTTCACCCATGGCGGCAAGGCTTGGTTCGCCATTGACGGCTACGGTGAGAACGAGGTCAAGGAGATCTTTTGGTACGGTGCTCACAGCTCTGAGTACCGCGGTGAGAAGCTCTTTGTGAAGGAGCTGAAGAACTACTCTCCCTAAATGTCTACTCGGGTTTGACTCTGGGTTGATATGACAGAATAGCTTGATGAGAGTTGCTTGTGCTTTTGGTGCTGACATACGTGTTTTACTAATCACTGTCATTTCATTCAATAACTAGTACATGTTGTATATATATCACGAATAGCGAAATTAAAGCAGCTGAAACTTCGCTAGATTTGATTGTATCTCCGATTAAAACAATCTATTTAGTTTCTTGTACACATACATTCAAATCGGAGCGGCCTGCAAAACCTCATCCAATCAATGCCTTGATAGTAGTCTCATAGCTCTCCGGTTCACGCCCTAAGATATCGCCCAGAGCCGGAGACACAACTGCAGTCTCACCCTGCTTGATAGCCTCCCAGGCTGTAGACCACTCCCTCGACAGATTAACTCCCTTGTATGTAAGCTTATCACCAATCTGAGGAAGATTGACAAACTCATCGACAGAGATTTCACGAATCTTAAGCGGTTTCCCAATCGCCCGACCGATAATCTCAACCGTCTCCGCAAGGGAGATCTCCCGAGTTCCAGAGAGCAGAAGAGCTTTGTTCACATACTCGAAGTTGGTTGGGTTATTGACATACGAGGCAATCAGCTTAGCGGTTGCCTCGCCCAGCTCATCGCGCTTGACCCACGCCACGCCGGGACCTGTCCCCGAGTGAGGGATCGCCACATCGTCGGTTGGATTCTGCGGATCAAAGAACGAGGTATAGATCGGGAAGGATTCAGTGTAGAGACCCTCCCGAACTATTGTGTAAGATATCTTGTCTTGCAGGGAAGAGAGGTATTTCTCTGTTTCGATGTGAGCGCCCATCACATGAGCGATGGAATGGTTGGTTAGATCTCCGCCGAATCCAAGAGAGGAGTAGAAGATGTGCTTGACGCCGCTCTTAATGGCCGCATCTATAGCAAGACGGTGCGCCTGGTTATGGTTGTTAGACTAAATACTTAGGTGGGTGACATTCACTTGACTTTTCTTACCTTGACCCTGTGATCTATCTCGAATGATGCATATGAAACCAGCATCAAGACATCCACACCTTCAAAGGCTGTGTCTAATGTCGATGGCTCATCATAGTCGGCTCTGCGTACCGTAGCGCCAGCTTGCTTGAGATCGTGCAGTTTCTCGGGGTATCGGGCACTCAGAACCAGCTCGGATTCGGGAATTAGTTTCACCACGTGGTTCACAATGCTTGATCCAAGGGCCCCAGAGGCGGGGAAGACACCAATCTTGGCACCCATATTGTATATGTTGTAGGGGAAGGATGATGGAAGGGTAACTTGGGTAGTAGGCTGTAGTTGGGAAGATTTTCGATGATCCGTACAATTTACCCGGTGAGTTTGTTAAGCCCTTTATATCCTGCAGTTCATAATCGCATGCTTATAAATGGAGATCTCGGGTATCCGGTCTATGACCGAATATACAATGACTTGGTTCCTCTATGGATCCATGGGTGTCGATCCGTTACTGTTTTTAAGAACGAAGATCGCTAATACACCACCCCCAAGAGCCACATTTTCACCGCTATCTGAAAATTCAAGTACGCTATACCTAAGATGGATTAGCTGGCCCCTATGGCTTACTCAGCAGATGGAGAACTAGGAAGAGTGGACAGTCTTTCATTCGTCAATCGTAACTTGAAATAGCAAGAGATGAGATATCGTACTTCTAAACGCCAAACCCGCAACGCACAAATGAACCGAAAGGAGATTGGCTTAATCATACTCCGAACTCAATGAGGAATACCTCCAGTTCCGAACAACTCCATCTTGATGCGATCGGCCCCCACGCCCTTGACCTTGAGACCCGACTCAACATCAGTCATGAACTGTCCGGGTCCACAGATATAATAATCTGTCTTTGCATCATCAAGGAACAAGTCCTGATCCTCCAACTTGGTTAACTCTACCCGCCCGACATGGTCATAGTCTACACCTTCCGTCTCTCCCTCGGATGGGTGGCTAGTGAAGAATGTCGTTCGAATGGAGGGGAATTGCTTTGGAAGCTCGGAGATGTGCTTCTTAAAAGCTCGCGCGCCCGATGAACGTGCGCCATGAATGAAATGCACTTTGCGCGTTGCGGGCGATTTGGAAATCAACGTGTTCAAAATCGACGTCAGCGGCGTTAAGCCCACGCCAGCGGAGATTAGCACGATCGGGTTACCGGTTTCCGAGTCGACGGGGGTAAGGAAAAAGTCGCCGTAGGGGTGAGAAACATTGAGTTTGTCGCCAATGTTGAATGTATCGTGTAGCACATTGGAGATGTAACCCGGATGGGCGGCAGCACCCGGAGCGGCAGGGCTGAGACCCAGTTCTCTCTTCACACTGATACGATAGTAGTCCGGCTTCGGCTGGTCACTGAGAGAGTACTGTCTAGCTTGTGGGTACTTGAGAGCCGGAACGTAGGTTTGGATGGAAATGTACTGGCCGGGCTGAAAGGCCGGTAGTGGCTTTTCATCGACCGGGGCGAGATAGAAGGATGTGATTTCCTCGGATTCCGGGACTTTATTCACAATCTTGAATTCTCTCCAATCGGTCCAGCCCTCGGCGTGTTCGTAAAGCTGCTTTTCGCGGCCGATCATGATATCGGCGAGCTGCCAGTAGGCTGTGCCCCATGCATCGTGGATTTCGGGGGTCAACTCCTCGCCGAGTACCTCGCCCATGGCCTCGAGGAGGTACTTGCCAACGATCTGGTAATCGTCGGGCTTGATATACAAAGAGGCATGCTTGTTGCAGATCAACTCAACCGCCGAGCTTAGTGCGCCAAGGTCATCGATATGCGATGCATATGCGTAGAGTGCACCTGCCAACGCACGAGGCTGATGGCCGTTAACCTGGTTGGCAGTGTTGAACACGGTGTTCAGCTCCGGGTGGGCTTCGAGCATGTTGCGATAGAAGACAGTCGTGATGGTGTTGCCATGTTCGACGAGGACCGGAATTGTCGCCTTGATGAGCGCAATTTGGTCTGGGGTCATTCCCGGATTAGAACCCATGATGAATGGATCTGTTGTATGGGTGATTGGAGTATAGAAAAATGTTTGATCGATTCTTACACTGTTCAGTGACCGGTGCAGGGGTTTAAATACAAACAACAAATCGGAAGATGTGGGTAAGAAGGAATCAGTTGTATTTGGTTGGTTGTCCAGCTATTTATATCCACCGTAACCGGATCGTTAACTCGTAAAAGACGGGATGTAGAAAATTCGGAATGCGCCTGGCATGATCTGTGAATATTTTCAGGGCTGAAGTGAAGACATCTCCGCGGAGCACTCCGGGGAAAGGGGGATACAACGCAGAAAGGGATTAACTCGGTCTGTTTTCGCAAATTGCAACTTGCAACGTGTAACGTGTAACTAACTGGTACATAAAGTTCTGTCGCTTGTTTTATATTCCTAAACTCCACGTGGAAGGCCATTTGAATAAGGTACCTACATATAGTTATCTACGATGCACGATAGACTGGAATCTGACCTACCTCCTGTCAGTCTCGATTTACATATTCATCTTCAGTCAGAATTGGCGTGGTGATTCAAGCCCACAGGAACGAAAAAATAGAGTTCCAGCGGCTCTGTGTGTTCATAACCTTGGAATTCTCGGACTATGCCTCCCGAGGTCCCCTTGTAATCACACAGATCTTCCAAGGCAGAGTACATGCATATATGTATGTATACAACTACTAGTTTGTCCAAAATAAGGCCCAAATGCAATCTAAAATAAAGAAATAGAGATAAACATCCATGTCCATGTCTTTCTTATGGGCCTTATCTTGGATGAACTATCTTCCACAGAAAATGATGTGACCGCCAATTGGCGAGTCTCACTGCATATTATGCCAAGTCAGATTGTCCGTTGAAATTTGAGAAATTTACATTCAATTACATATAAACCTGTGTATTTTTGTTATTATACACCTCCGGCATACAAAACCGCCACACGTACTGTACTCCGTAACTATTTGTTGTACAACATATGTTGTACGGAGGAGTCAGGCCATGTTATCGGGGCCAAACGGCCCGGTATTTGCCGATCGATTAGGTAAACCCGATTTGATTACTCATTTAGGGAGGTCCACGGGTACTCCGGATGGCTCCTCAAATATGCGAGCTCTGGAGCTGCGCAGGTGACCTCAGGAGTCATGGCAGAAGATGTCCGTATACTTCGGACCTCTGTACTAAATGAGCAATGCCGGTTTAACCGTTCTGACGCGAGTGACCGCATTCAAGATTCATTATCTCCATGATTTGGCGCCAAGACCCTATCATAGTCCTGTCCTTCACCAGCTTCGAGGCGATTCACTATATCAGCAAACCCTAACCTGCGGGAACTAATGATTAGCAACGGTAAAGTCCGAGCTGTCAAACCCTAAATGGCGTTCATGCGAGATCTGTTGGGTCTAGATCTTAATGCTCGACGCTGGCCCAATCACAGGGTTCTGGGAACACATGGAGAAGATCGATACTTACCTACCTGGGTAGGTATACAATATATACAACATATAGACCACTGGATAATCCGGGAGGAATGACGTGTTGTGGAGGTCTAGACATTCGACCTTCACCACCGTTTGCAGAAGTCGGGATGTTCATACAACGGCTATTGGCTCCACCAGCCAACCCCAGACTCTTAACTTTATTTATCCCACTCTATACGGGAAAACTATACGGGAAAATTATCCATGAGCCCATTTAATAGCTGGTTAAATGGACTACTGCCATAAAATAAGCTGAATTGTGGTTGAGTCAAGGACTAATCGGTCATACATGGACCAGTCGCAACACCGTCTGGATTGAGTAGTGACGTCTGTGATATACGGCAGTTATAACATGTAAAGGACAATGGATGATAGAAGAAGCTGCGATGTTCTCATTCTGACAGAGACAGAGACACTAGTCAACTCCGATTTGAATTAGTTCTCTTCATTCCAGCTCCCTCACCCCTCAAGATGTTGTTCAAGAAGCGCTTGTCTGATGTCCCGACCATTGAAGGGTCGCAGACAAATAACCAGCTGCTTATGCTGCGGCTCCCAGACAAGCTGCAGTACAACTTGCTCTGTCTGATGGGCGAGTTCGTGGGGACTTTCCTGTTTCTCTTCTTTTCTTTCGCGGGTACACAGGTGTCCAATACCCCCATGCCGCCACCTGGCTCCCCACCAAATACTACTAACTTGATGTATTCCGCTCTTTCTTTCGGATTCGCTTTGACGGTCAATGTCTGGGCTTTCTACCGAGTCACGGGTGGTCTTTTCAACCCGGCGGTATGGACATCACCACACAGCAAAGGGAATATATGTAGCTGACATTCACCAGGTTACTCTTGCCCTCTGCCTGAGTGGTGGCATGCCCCCTCTCCGGGGGTTGTGCGTATTCCCTGCGCAACTGGTCGCCGGAATTGCTGCAGCGGGCGTCGTGAGTGCCCTGTTCCCGGGCCCGTTAAACTGCTCGACACGACTCGGCGGTGGCGCATCGATCGTACAAGGACTCTTCATTGAGATGTTCTTGACGGCGCAGCTTGTGTTTGTCGTTATCATGTTGGCAGTGGTGAAGCACAAGTCCACCTATTTGGCTCCAGTAGGAATCGGTCTGGCTTTCTTTGTTGCAGAACTGATTGGTAAGTAACAACCATAGATCGGATTCCTTCACGTATTGTGCTGACCCTTCGCATTAGGTGACTACTATACCGGAGGATCTCTCAACCCTGCTCGTTCCCTCGGACCTGATGTGATCAACCGCTCGTTTCCGGGATACCACTGGATCTATTGGGTCGGTCCTTTGCTCGGATCCCTTCTTGCGTCTGGTTTCTATCAACTCCTGTGTATCGTGCGCTGGGAGAAGATCAACCCCGGTCAGGATTATAACGAGGAAGAGGTTGCTAGGAAGGAGTCGTTGATTGGTTCGGAGCATACCATCACCGCCAATGCCGCTTCCCCCTAAGTAGCAGAAGAGAGGTTCCGCTCGATGAGCATGTTTAATGCTGTTGCATGGTCCGAAGTGCTGCTCGATGGAAACCGGGCGATTGTTTTGCCTCGACGACCATAACGACGCAACCTTGAGTTCGCTGAACAAATTTCCCTATGTATATAGTGGAGAAACCCCTTGAGATGAGGCTAATACATACCTGAGTTAATATATTAAACTGGTAATGAGGCCGAGAATACTTAATCGATGCCAATAAGTAAAGGATTGGAAGGATCTCAAACACTTACAATACAACATATTGGCACTTAGCTCGTGCAACCCAATGGGCTGCAGTGGAGCTGTGATTGTTTCGGAGTTGGTGCAGATCACCCGCCATCACAGCGCTAACATCCTCAATAGTCGCGACATTTGGAGTGGACAATGTCTTACAGTGAACATTGGTGCCTCTGTAATTCAAACGAGGGGGCCATAATCACACTGCACGTCCGCGGGTCCTATTTCCTGCAGGAAACCGCCATTATTGGAGTCCACCACGGATGGTTGGTCAGTCTTATCTTTGGCGTGAGAAGACGAGTTTCAATATCCACATCCCTTGACTTGACTCCCAATTGATTAGGCCTTTAAATCATCCATCCCCTCCATGTCCGTCCGAACAGCCACAATTTGAGTCAAGGTGTTCATGATGGACTCGCAACCCGTCGACCCCGAAGCGGTCACCCCGGTCGCGACCGATGCGATGGCAGATGTCGGGGATGTGCAACTGCTTGGTATATGATTGTGCTTTTTTTTTTTTGTTGAGGACTGGTCGCTGATACCTTTTCTAGCACGGATGGGCTACAAACAGGAACTTCGTCGGCAGTATTCTACCACGCAAGTTTTCGCAATCGCATTCAGTATCATGGGCTTGGTGCCCTCAATCGCGTCGACACTCTCGTTCTCTCTCCCCGCGGGTCCGGTCGGGATGGTCTGGGTAGGGGTTGAACCCCCGTTAGTCTGGTTGTGCTGTTGGTTGACTGGGACTATGGAATAGGGATGGTTCACGGCGAGCATATTCATTTTGTTGGTTGGGCTGGCAATGGTAGCAATCTTGGAGGGGGCTATCTGGAATTATCTCACTGATATTACCTAGGCTGATCTCGCGTCTGCCATGCCGACAGCTGGAGGACTATATTGGTGGACACATTATTTCGCCGGACCGAAGTGGAAGAAACCATTGAGTTTCTTGATTGGATATAGCAACACATTGGGCTTGATCGGTGGCATGTGTTCGGTGGATTGTGAGGATGATCATCCATAACCATTATGATCACTCGTATCACTTACTCTTGTTGTCTAGATACCCTCGCACTCATGATCCTCTCTTGTGTCTCGATATCACGGGGAGATGGATGGTCCGCCTCGCGCGGCGTTATCTATGCTGTTTACGTCGGCCTGATTCTCTTCCACGGGCTATGCGGCTCCTTGAGTGGACGACTAATGCCGAAAATCCAGACATTTTGCATCTATATCAACATCGCCCTCGTTGTTGCGACTGTGATTGCTCTGCCAGTTGGAAAAGTGACGCGCGGCGGGTCCCTCAGCCCCGGCAAATATGTGTATGGTCATATCGACAATGAGACTACATGGCCGACCGGATGGGCATTTATACTGGCATGGCTCGCTCCGATCTGGTCAATTGGCTCCTTTGACTCTTGTGTGCACATGAGCGAAGAAGCCATGCATGCATCCAAGGCTGTTCCTCTTGGAATCATCTGGTCGGCGGGCTCTGCATTTGTGCTTGGCTTCTTGGTGCTATCTGTCATTGCTGCTACTATGAACCCGGATGTAAGTGCCACGATCAACACCAAATTCGGTCAGCCAATGGCCCAAATCTACTATGATGCATTAGGCAGAGACGGTGCTTTGGGATTCATGGCCGTGCTTTGCGTCATTCAGTTCCTCATCGGCCTCAGCTTGATTGTCGCTGCTTCTCGCCAAGCATGGGCGTTTTCTCGCGACGGCGCACTGCCATTTTCTAGATTCTTCCGCCACGTCAGCAAGCGTATCCAGTACCAACCGGTGCGCATGATCTGTGGCTTGGTGGTTGTCTCTATTGTGTTGGGCCTACTGTGTCTGATCAACTCAGCAGCTGCCAACGCCCTGTTTTCGCTATTTGTAGCAAGCAACTATCTATCATGGGGCACCCCGATCTTCTGCCGCTTGGTCTGGGGTGAGGACCGGTTCACCCCAGGAGAGTTTTATACCGGCCGCTTGAGCAGGCCTATTGCCTGGGTAGCCGTCCTCTATCTTATTTTTGGTGTTACCTTGTCTGTGTTTCCGACTGAGGGTCCCAACCCAACTCGTATGTATTTGAACACCGCAAGGTCAAGGTCGCTTGGTCCGATCGCTAACAATTTACTTATCCGTAGCATCGAACATGAACTACACCATCGTAATCAACGGGTTTGTTTGGTTCGGATGTATGGCTTATTATTTCCTTTTCGCACGGCGATGGTATATTGGACCCCAGATGACTGTCGATGAGAATGGTTCTACTGCTTCGGGGGATATCATTGTCGTTCCAGTCTCCCATGAGCTCCCTGCCGAGGCACCCGCATCTTTCGACCATAAGAAAGAATGATCGCTGTTCTCTCGATCTCTTCCTGCAGTACATATACCCGTGTCTCGATATATACTGCTTATTTTTCAGCTGGTCCTTGATACATATATTGTCGCCCGATTTCACGTAGGCCGATTGGGTTAGACATAAACAACACCGTGTTCACAGTGTCTTCTATCAATGCCTATCTCATGGTGTGATAGTTTCCTACGCCCAGGTTAACTTCCTTGGCTACGTGGATTCTTACAATATGCTAGCATCAGATCCTAGTGCTGATGGCCACTTGGTAGCTACACTGCCAGAGAGACCGAAGGATCAAGGTTATGTTGACTATATGATGCTCTCTGATACGGAGTAAGCTAGTAACACGAAATTTCAATGTTTCAGCTCCTTGCTGCGGGGGTGGAAGAGCGTGTGTTTCTGTCTTTTTTATCGTTCTCGCATTTGAAACCTGTACAAGGTTGAATCTGTAATTGGTAGTTTTGTTACTATTGCTCAACCGAACCCTCTCTATTCGCTCTTGATACCGCTTTCCATGGGACCTCAAGTCAGGTTTCTTTTTAATCTAGATACCTTAGAAAGGGCTATCGTGAGACATGTAATAAACAGATGTGTTGAATTTGCTATAAAAATCTGTTCTAGAAGATGCATATTTAGTCGTGAGATTATCAGCAGATTGAATGTCGAAATGGTCGACCAAAATGTAGGATATACAGCCGATGAATATGTACAGTTCGAAAAGAACGCCGGTATTAGACCTCTTTTCCCAGATGCGAGAAAGCGACGAACGAATAGTTCAGAAAATTCGTGAAGAAAGAACGTAGTGGATATCATGGCTGAAATCAAATCCAGATTCAACGGAGGAAGGTATCAACACTTTACAGTGCAACCATAAGACCAAGGACACCGGCCATACCCGCAGCAGCAGCGCCGACAGCAGTGGGACGAGCGAAGGCGGCATTGTCAGAGGTGGAGGAGGCGTCGGAAGAGCCGGAAGAGCCGGAAGAGCTGGGAGAACCAGTGGAGATTGTGCTGGTCATGGTAGTGGACTCGGTACCGGTGGTTGAGCCGGCGGAGTCGGTTAGAGTAGTCTGAGCAGAAACTGCAGTAACAACCCGGCTGGTGATCTCCGAGCCGATAGAGCGGCCTTCGCTGGCGGCGGCAGAAGCCTCGCTTTCGATGGAGGAGATGGCGCCGGCTCCGCCGGTGCTGGCGGCTTCGGCGATAGATGTGGCCTTTGAGACGATGTCGGATCCGATGGATTGGCCACCGTCGACGGCAGTTGAGTAGATGCCTTCGGCGTTGGAGACGATGGAGTTCACGTCAAGACCGTCTGGGGAGGCCATGGAAGCGGTGGCCAGGAAGAGAGCGGAGGAGATCAGAGTGAACTTCATTTTGGTGGAGATAAAAAAAAGGGTTGATTGTAAGGGTTGATTGTAAGGGTGAATTAGATCGTAAATAATTGATTCTTTTTGGATTGAGATGATATATTCTAGAAATCCGGGGGAAAACAACTCCTTATGTATATATGTCCACGGGTATTTGGTAAATGGGAACCCGATTTCTATAGATAGAAACATCGTGGTTGGATTGCGTATGGCTGCCAGGCAACCATAGTGGCAGTGGCGAGATGGAGATGATCTCAGCCCTGTGAAGAGCGATTCTCGTGCCGATCGTAGGGTCCATTCGGGGTTAGAGGGGCTATGTACCGTGTTAGAAAACTGCAATCTCGTTGTCCCAACATCCGGAGTACGGGTTGGAGCAATGACATCGTCATGTTTGGGGTCCACTTCGTAATGAGCCCTGGCTCAATTATGGGGGCTGTTTCAACACCCTAGTCCCTTTCCCCCCCAGAAAATACCTGCAAGATCTAGACGTGCATGTTCTCGCATGAGCTTGATTTGTCTTAGTCGGGGGCAATGCAGCACAGCCGGTAAAAAAAGCAACATTTGGATCGTTGTGATATTTTGGGTGTTTGCTGCCTTGGTGGTCCCAACAACTCGATTCGCACCGAAGACCCCAACAAATAATGGGCCACGTACTCTGTAGGAGGTGGAGGAAAATCTTTATTAATCAACTGTCCATGAGTTATATGAGTGATGTGAGTGGTAGAAAATGGAGATGTTGTCTGGGTACTCGTGGGTCGACTTTTGCCTTGGAGAAGCAAGTCTTGGCGCCCATCCTCATACAAAATCCCAAAGAACAATGAGCCACCCCCAATTTCCAAGTATATTGGCCCCATGGCCCCTATGGCATTTTAGGTCGGGGGATAGCCAAGGGGTTTCATGACGCGTCATATTAGCAGGCTTGATTACCCTTTTTTTCTTATTGCAAAAGGGGTAGGTAGTGAAGGAGGCGGAGTGGCGACATGCTAAAAAAAGAAACAAGAAAAATGCCAGAACTATTTTGGTGAAAGTATTGTTGACACCCTCTCTATTATTTAAATTACTAACAAAATGCATATGTCCAATGATGATGATGATGCAATAAACACAACACGCCGAATATCATGCTATAAACTGGCCATAAACCTGGATGATGCCTTCCCAACCACCTTTGTGGTCCGATTGACGGGGGTTGCTCTTCCCATCGAGCACCATCACATCCGTCATACGCGTACTGATCGAGTACCAGACTAGATTATGAGGCTCATTCGTGACCCGCATCATGTTGGTTTGGCAGTTCCCGTTGCATGGCTCGTTGTACAGACCATTCCAGTACCCGTCGAAGAAAGCCCAGGCAGCTGAGTTGTATAGTGCGATGTTAGATCCACCGTCCACATTTGTAGCAATTGCAGTGCGACACTTTTGGTCATCTGCAGCACACCACGAGAAATCAGGGTCACCATATTTGGCCATAGCTGTCCATGGTGCTGGTGCCGCCTGGTACTCGCCCTGGCCTTGCATATACGGTGTTTCCGTTTGTAGAAGACCCGCAAAGACATTCTCGGCGTTGTGGAAGTTATAGTTGTACAGCCAGTGATGCTCGGAACCGGTTCCTGTCAGCCAGGTGCCCTTGGTGGATTCGACCAAGATGCCGCGGCCAGTGGAGATAATAGTGAGAATTGACTCGCTATCAAGATTGTGATCGGCGGTCCACCCCCAGAAGTTCTCAATATATGCGGACGAGCTCTTGGTCAGGTGCAATATCATGAACGCAGCCATGCAGTCCTTTGGGTCTTGCGACGTGCAAGAACCGGATATACTGGTGTCAGCGGTCCCACCCACCATGGCTATCGTGTTCCAAAGACCGATGTCACCAGGCTGGTCACCTGCCGCATTGATTTCAATGATCTTGGCCCCCGGCAGGACCTCGCCGACGGAGAATCGCATGTCTTGGATTTCAATCACACCAATGTCTCCGGCATTGCCGAGCTGAGCGACAGGCCTCGGATTGGCGGCATCCTTGAACTTGTCGCCATATGCAGAAATGACAGACCACGCTTCTCCAACAATGCGGGTTCCGACTGGAATGAAAATCGTGTCTGAGACTCGGTATACACCGAAGGGGATGTAGGTGACCTTGCACGAATCGGCATTTTCAGCCAAGATAGCATTCAGACTGATGGTGTCGTCAGTCTTACCGTCACCTTTCACTGTGTGTCCAGATACGGTCTTCACATTGACAATATCATCTGTGCTGTAATCTTGGTAGGTGGGCTGGGCCTTGATAAAGAATTTGTCATCTACCAGCAAAGGGGCCGGGCGTTTTGTGTCCCAGCTTATCCCAGTTTGGTAGGTTTCTGGAACGACAGTACCCCAGACCCAGGTATCAACGTGAGAGGTAGCGGACAATGCAACATTGCCCTGGGAATCCACCGCGATAGCGTTCGAGGTATCATGCTTGAGGTTCTGAATGAGCAACTGGCTATTTCGATTTCCAGAATCATGGGACGAATCATGGAATCTGATCACCGGTCCTGCGTTGGTGGAAGTGGAATCCAGAAGCACTAGGCTACCCAATCCATTCCCAGTCATATCGATACCAGTGCCGCATCTATCGAAGGTTGCTTGTTGCAGCAGCACCGTCCACCCACCTGCCGCGGCGAAACCTGTTCTACAAGACTCGAAATAGATGTTCTTGAAGTTGACTTGTTGGTTGGAGTTTTTGATCCCGATAGCTCCACCAGTAATATGCTACACTGTGTTAGGTTGCTTTTCTTCTTTTTCTTGGGTTTCTCTGGATCACTTACCACATCCGCCACAGCTATTGTTGACCCGGCATTGATATCGATTCCAGTGTGACCCGTGGAGTCCTTAGGCATACGAATCTTAACATTTGTCAAACCCGACCCTTGGGCAACTCCCCATTGAAGAGCAGTGACGTGGCGGTCTGGCTTGAGGGCCGTCGTATCCACGATCACGTTCTTAACAAGCGTTGCGAAGCTAGTTTCTGGGTTGCCACCGTGTGAATCGTACCCCATGATGAGATAGTCACCGCGGAATCCCGGCCCAGCCTTGATGACGGGAGGATTTAACGGATTGCCCACAATTATTGTACCTAGAGTCAGGTTCAGAGTGCTTTCAATCTGGTACACGCCGCCTGGAAGGTAGACCTGAGCAGGGTACCGCGTGACACCATGGCCCTTTCGGCTACCTCCCAGGCCGTCATCATCTATGGCCTTCTGTAATTTCGGTGTTTGATTACCACTGCCATCATTGACGACCGAGTAATCCATCACATTGCGGTACACCGGGTAGAGGGACGATTGAGCGTAGGGAGCAAATCCTGCTCCTTGTTGGTTGTGATCCTGCTCATCAAGCCAGTAGGTCTCTGGCGATTTGCCGGTAGGGGAAGCACAGGTTTTTGTCGCGTGCGAGTGACCCTTTTGATGCACTGGACTATACAAGTTTGTTAGCATTCATGGATCTCATGAAAAGGTTGAATGGCACATACGACTGAGTTGGAGGACTGGCTCTTGTGGATTGAGTAGGGGTCTTTGATAATGGAGTTGAAGTCCGTGTACTTTGTTCGGGAGTATGCGTGACCGTTGAATGGATGCTGGTTATCATCGTAGTAGCGTTTTCCATCTTTGAGGAACTAGCCACTTCTGGTGAATGAGTTGCCGCCGAAGCAACCACACCCTTTGATGTAAATTCCGCCGCCGTGGAAAGAGTATTTACTGTAACCGACGAAGTCGTGCTACTCGAGTCGTGGTGAACTGTCGCGGTGGGTGATGGAGCGGTAAGGCCTGCCAAAGCAGACATAAGAGCCCAATACAAGGGGTGGTCATTATTTGACGGTGCTTCATCACCAGTTGTGCCTTCATCAGTTGTGGATGAAAGCCAATGCGATGAGGACGTTCGCATAAATTGCGGAGGCATAATAGCACCTGATACTGTAGACACAACAGCTGCCACTGCAGCCAAAGAAGCGACACCCCTCATATTTCAATCGACCACAAGCCACAACCTCAGTCTCGAAGTAGGTAGAAAAGAGTATGAGAAAAAAAAGGAAGTGGATGGATACTAATAGAAATGTTACTGTTGTTGTGTGTTAGGCTCTCCGACAGATACATACCATGCCGACCATTTTGGAATGCTCATAAAGAACACACTTTGTATGAAGAATGTGTATAGCCCTTGGTTTGGTGCACCTTGAATGGTCTGGCTGAAAGGGCCATGGATGATCGACACCCCCTTGCAAAACTCGGGATTCGCAACCCTCTGGGAACACACACTATAGCAAGCTTATGCCGTTGCTATAGCTTCCTTTTGAGTACACTCTGTTGGGTTGAGAATTTCAGATTTTTAGTATAATGTGCTGTACCATCCTTTTCCTGTATAACTCGAGCTGGATATCCTCGATTAGGAATACATAGCTACGCTCCATAGTACTAAAAAAACATACTAGCTATACCCCATAGTGTTAATTCGGTGTTCATCCTGAACTGTGTACTCTTACACCATCCAACACGAAAGGACTAAGTTCTAGTAAATACCCTCGCGTCTCTCTATTTGTTCCTTATTTGCCTCTTTATGTCAAAGTATGTATTTCCAGGCTATATCTTGATTCCTGCTACCCTTCAGGCCCATCTAATACGCTTGCAATCCGGATCAATACAAGGTCATCGTTCGTTTACGTGTTATTTGACGTGCTTCCAGTGCTCTCAATTCGAGACACGTGGAATCGGTAGATCGTGGGCAAGATGAAGTTTTCACACGACATCCCTTGCATTTGGTCCTTGTCCGCCGGTGTCCATATAGACTTCCATGCCAACGGCAGCTATGCAGTATGAAGCATGCCTCCTCACCTATATGATTTTGTGTATTTTTTTTGAGAACCGGCGTACACCATGCCTGTTGATCTTAGCTGCTATTTTTAGCTGAAGGAAAGCTGCAATTGAAGGGTTGAGATGGTTTGGCTTTGTCAACCGGTCATCCTTGTGGATATA